AGTCTGACAGCGCTGAGGGGGACGGAAGTATGACTTCTCTCCTTCCTTCTATATGTAAGATCAATAACTCCATATCGTTGTCAAAAGAATGTTATCGTTCCGCTTGGCATCGCCCTGGTACCTTAGTATCACACGTCTCTCGTCTAGAGGACTCAGGCCTAGCCACTATCTCAGCACACTCGGCCGAATTCACCGAATCAAACTTTTCAGTTACTGCTGTTACACCTGGATTTCAGCCCATAGATTGGTATTCGAGTCCCACCAGAAAGGCTGTCCAACGGGTCCAGATACAGGTCACTGCAAATGGACAAGAGACTCCTATTAGACTCCAATTACCCGCGCCATTAACTGAAGGCACAGTTGAACAGGCTGATTCTCTGCCTCCTTACTGAGCCTGGTATTATCAGACTATGTTTATAGGCATTTCCCAGTTCTATTATATCTTGATTACATCTAACTTGTATTATTCTATGAATCGCTTTTTGTCCTTTCCCTATCATCATTTTAACAAGCTTATTTATATATAGATTTGCTTGCATCTACCCTTTATACCCGTTCCTCTTACTAACACAAATATAGATTTTTTTCCCAGTCTACGATTTTTTTCCGATCAGATTCTCTCAATCTGATTGTATTTACACAATCTTTTGTATGAATATTCTTTCCATTCAAAAACCGCGTTTCTTCTCATCCGGGCCATATTTCCGCTCTGTCTCTAGATTCGGATTTAGTTCGCCTTGTCTGCCTTGCATTTGATTTCTACCTCGGGCTTCCCCAGGCGTATTCTTATTTTGAGCTTGTTGTCTTGCCAATTGAGATTTGCATTTTTATCCGCCCTTCAATCTTCCCTCACTATTTCTTTCTTCGATTTTACCTGTACAGATTTGGCTTTATGCGCTATTAATGTCTATTTACTATTTGTGCCATCCAAACTGATGCATATCCCACGCGGCCTCTCATTTGGCACATGTATGGATTCATGCATCGCAAGGGTTATGCGCTAACTCAATCGTCATGGGCCAACCACGCCTTGACGACTTGGTTCTATAGTCTCCTCTTGCGCCTCGCATTTTTCTTTCATCTCATTCTCGCAGCGTCTATGTCCATTTTCGCTTGCCCATCACTAAGCAATGTATATTTGTAAATTCAGAGATTACAATGTACTTTTATCATTTTTTTATCCTTATACTGGATGAAATATAGATACATTTTTCCTTCACATTTTTTCTGCTAGATTTATAAACATATTTAACCATTTATCCAAAATGACGTGAAGACAATAGCTAGATTAATACCGTATTTTCAACGCTAATGGTTAAGATTGATAAATATATATGGACTGACTTAACATCGATTCTCAGTCTTACAGTTCCCCGCGTTCGGTAGCTTATTTGCAGACTGTCAAACGGATGCCGAGTACTACTTTTGCTTTGGCCTTATTCACTAATCCATTCAACTTCGTACTGGCTACGCAACCTGATTACAGCTCCTTTCCCTTGAGTGTAAGTGCAAACTGGGTGCATGTTCATCAATTTTTTTTGATATACCTTGATGGTGGCATAAACTTTCTGTCTGTACTTGTCTTTATTTGTGCAAAATTACACATTGGTACTGTCTTTCCTGTAGTCTTTACATTGAGAGGGCCGCCTTAAAACTACTTCACCATGGCTGTGGCTGCCATAGCTGACAGACTTATTCGAGTATGCCTGCCTATTTCTAAATTATTCTAGGGGTGTCTGCTTTCTGTGTTATAATTGGCCCATGAGTACACGTAGGCCCTTCTTTAACTCTCGTATTGCTTGGCTATATTCGACTAGTGATTTAAAAGCATGTAATAGTACAAACCTTGATAAAGTTGCGAAAAGTTGCCTCAACATCTGCTTGAGTAGTCTCCGCTTGAATGTGCTTTTATCCATCAGCTTAGATAGGCGCTAACACAAAGTTTCGCTACTCTTCCCTCCCTCAACATAATGCACATACTTCTCTTGTGCTCCATCCCTTGCTTGCCGGAAAATTATGTGGAACCCCGATCTCTTGGGGATAGTCGCAGGTACCTTTAGGTAATGGGTCACCTTGGTGCTCTTATCTGTACTTTCTGGATCCAGGCTTTACCCTCCTAATGATGAAAGAGTGATGGCTAAGGTCTGGTTGTCTCGGTGTTCGATCACCCGTCTCCACTTTTCGTTGAGTAGCTACGGAACTGGGCTCTGAAGGGCTTTGAATTTGTGCGATGACAGCAAATGATGGGTTATGCGGATCTACTTTGATTTTAGCTATTAAGAAAAAGGTGCCGGCCTTTCGTTGCACTTCCCATTAGCTGCATCGCCTCTTCGAGCGAAATGAAAGGTACTCCAACATGAGCGTATTTAATTCTGCCTCTGCCATAATTATCATGAATTCCAGCAAACGCCCGTTGACTTTACTTTCAGTCGTTTCGCCGGCATCGTCAGTGAGAAGTGCCATCCTTATCACAGTTACAACTTATCAGTGAAAAGTTAAGTCAATCCCCTGACTAGTTTTTTGTACAACGTTTTTGTAATCACTTCTCGTTCCAATTTTTTGCCATATCTTCTCGAGATCTTTATCTCGACCCACTTCATATGGTCTGTTTATCTATTTTAACCATTCTGTGTCATTTTTTCCTTCAATGTTGCTCAAGAGTGTCGCCTCAGATGAATTTAGTGAAACAGATGTTTACACGGATTCTACTTCTTAGTTTCTTGCCCCCCTCCATCCCGCTTGTCAGTTGTTCTCAACTACACATGAAAATCACTATGTCTGTCCGCATATGCGCCTTCAATTCCAGCTCCTGTTTACATCATACTGGAGGATTTAAGACCGATAATTCGCATACCTAGTAGTCTTCCTCTTAGGCTTCAGACCCATCATCCAGTTATCTTATTTTTCATCTCCAGCCTATTCCCTTATTATCTTAGCCCCACATATCTGGCCTGATTATGCTTGGTGTTGAAATGGACCGTTTACATTCTCCATTCAATCACATAAAGGCCACTTGCCTCGTTGCTAGTCTCGTTTACTCTTAAGGTTCTAGTCACTTCTGCATCTCTACGTTGGTAAGTCATGTCACCAGTTACCTTTCACTACGTATACACAAGAAATACACTGCCATGAACACACCCGGGGGTCAACTGATATTGTGTTAATCGGCTCGGTTTTCACACCATGATTATTTGAAA